CTCAGAATCAATCAGCGGGTGACCAGCACCATTGTGGCCTCCTGAGCTGCATTTGAAACCGGCCTCTTCTGTTTGGTGTTCCCTTAGTCCTGCTGTCTCTGACTATTAGGTTAAAGATTAATTGCGATGACTGGTAACTCCGGTGAAAGGCAGTTGGGTTCATTTAATTAGAACAAACTCTACTTTGGTATTATAGGTATTTGAATCTCTAACCTCAAGTTTAAGCCAGGTTTTTGGCTCACATTCTTCTCCACCCTGTTCTTTCTTTGAAAGTGAATTTTAACCTTTATCTGAAGAGAAGGACTAAACAAAGAATGGGGAAAACATGGCAAAACACTACAATTATGTTGGGGATCTGAGATTAGCCTAACATGTAAAAGAAAAAATGAGAAAAAGAGAATACAGAAAGAAGATACAATGTCAAGGTCAAGAGGAAATCTTTGATGTCTATAAGAAACTATTACTTTTGTTAAAATAATTATTAGTGCCAAGATAATTATATAGATCAGCAACATGTATCAGGCACTTGTTATACCCTAGAAACATTGCTAAGCATTCCAAAAATATTATTTCATCTAATGGAATGATCCAATTAGATAACTATCATTATCCATTCTTTTTTATAAATGAATGAATCCTAACTAGAAAGGTGGAGTCATTTGTCCAAATACCAAAGGCCAGTAAGTACAGGGATTGAAAACCAGATTGCTGAGTTCCAAGAGCCCATGTGATTGTGCTTCCCAAATACCAGCCACCATGATCTGCTGAATAATTTACACCATGAAAAAAGTTTAATAATCAAGCTAAGATCATATCACTAGCGAGTGGTAGAAATGGGATTTAGCAACTGTTTGACTCCAAAAGTCAGGATCTTTCCAACATAATTGCACTTTGAAAGGAAAGTATAATATCTATGTGACTAAGGGATTTGGAGCTGATTGATTCCAAAGTGCCACGCCAGATGTCATTAGAATACAGGCAACCTGTTATTAAAAGAAGTATTCAAATAAGTAAGCTAGAAAATGAAATATAAAGGACAATACTTTGATAATATTTACAAGAAACAGATACTATATTCTCAAGCAAACAAAACTATTTTTCCCCCACAATGTCTTAGGGAGAAGGCATGTTTTTTCACTGTATATAAAATTTTTGTTTTAATGAAATTATGTTATGTGAATATACAAATATGTAACAAAATTAATTATATAATATAACAAAATTATATACAATTCTAGTGCACCAATAAAAATAAATAAATATTCTTTTCTGTTTTATCATGATGGATAGTAGTTGATAATTCACATTAAAATGCAGCATTTTTTTGTTGAAACCACCAACCCTCTTTGGTTGCTTATTGTTAGCTCACTGAACTTGGAGGTTGATGGTCAAGACCGTGTAACCAACCTGGCTGAATATTAAATGTGCTTACAAGTTGTATCCCTATTGTCAAGAAATAGCAAGACAAAAAAAAAAAAAAAGAAAAGAAAAAAAAAGAAAAGATATCCCAAAGCATGGTTCAGCTTTAATTTTTGGATCATGGGGGAAAATGTCATAAAAGAGATTTAGTAAGACAATTAAATAAAATCATAAACAGATTGTATTTTAAATATGAGTGTCTTGTCATTGTTAAATTTTCCAGATTATATAATCTAACTGTGGTTTTATGAAAGTATGACTATTTCTAGGAAACCATATTAAAATGTATTGGGTTAACAGGACAGAAGGCCTAAAAGTGTGTCTCAATGGAAAACATGTATCTATATAGGAAACCTAAGTGGCAGTCAAGGGAAGAAAATAATAAAAATTAATAAATAAAAGATATGTGGGAGTTTTTTGTACCACTGTAATATCTCCTTTAAGAGTTTGAACCCAGGGGTACCTAACTACTGAACCACTTTCCCAGCTCTTTTTTTTTTTTTCGTTTTATTTATGGAGGGGGATCTCACTAAGTTACTTAAGGCCTAGCTAAGTTGCTGAAGTTGACTTTGAATTCAAAATCCTCCCACCTCAGTCTCCTAAGCCACTGGGATTACAGGTATTCATCACCATACCCAGATAAAAGTTTGAAATAATTTTAAAATAAAAACCTAAAAAAATTAACTTCCAGCTTAATTCAGATTTATGTTTTAATGTTTAGCATATTTTTCTAGGACTAATAAAACTGTAAATAAATGACAATGAAAAGCAGACAAAAATCCTAAAACTTGATCAAAATCACTGTAGAGTGGCATCACGTCAGCGTTCTATGAACATTTCTATAACTGAGAAATGTGCGTTTTAACAAAAAAACTAAATTTATGTGAACGTATTCAACACATGAAACTAAAGAAAATATTCAGAAATCATTGCTATTCCTTTAGTGTATATATTTCATGAAGTGATAAAGCTGACTTTTTAATGATTTGAGAATTATTCTAGATATTTTTGAATAGGCCTATTTTTCTCCAGGAGAAACTTACCACCCAGAATCTAGGGCCCAGTAAGGGTCATGGTCTAGAGCTATCTCAAGCCCTAAATCCTGTGGTCTTGTCTTCAGAGAGAGGCCTTCTCAATTCTTCTAGAATGTCAGAGTGATAATTGAGCTGTTTCTCCCTCATTTGTGGCTGAACTCAGGATACTATTTTCCAGAATGTCACCATCTTGGTGTTCTATCAGGAAGTTTTAACACCCTCCTGGCAGTCCCTGAATTAGAGTTTCTAGGGAATTCAGCTATTATCTCTAAGTCTCCTTCCTCTATATTCTTTCACCATCAAAACTGGAAGGCTCAAATGTGTCTCCAGAGAAGAAAATTCCAGAGTAAATTAGCCAATGAAACTCTAGGGGAAAATTCGTATTTCACATGAAGAAATAACCTAGTAATTCAATATACTCCGAGAAAACCTCTAGAATGTGTTGCATTGATTTTACACATAAACATATAAAATTATACTTTTAAAGGTGCAGGTGAATCTAAACACTAAACATTTACACACATGGCCCAGACAAGAAGTCTTTGAGTTCATTATTCTCTCTTGAATTATGTGAAGAAATGCCTAAAATTCTCTGCCTTGTGTTTGCTCCATTTTAAGTTGATGACAATTTATTTTTTCCTTCCTATTTCTACTTAGCTATTTCAAAGTAAATCCAGAAGCATGTACACTGAAAAAGAATAATATAAAGAAAGAAACAGAGAGAGAGAGAGAGAGAGAGAGAGAGAGAGAGAGAAAGGAAAGACAGGAGAAAAGTTTAAAAAGAGAGAAAAGCCCACAGACATTTAAGAATCTGTGATTCCCTTAACAGTGAATTTGAACTTCTGTCACTTGGTTTAGTATTTTAGGAAATGAAAATATTTTCGACCATGTGGACATTGAGGACAATGAGATCATGTTCATTACCACAGAACTGAATTTTTCATAAATATTCCTTATGCATGGACTAATAAGTATTCTTTAACTTTTCAACATTTTAAGAATTATTGCCAGTTTGGCTTTCGTACAAATAATGGAATACAAATAATGTCCAGAGACTCAGGACAAGCCAATATAAAACAGATATTTTCTGTTTAATCCTGTAATGTCTTATTTATACAAGGAAGATTTAATTTTCAAATATTTAAACTCGCTTCTGGCTTTTGTTATGTTCTGTGTTCAACCCTTTTGTTATACATTTTGAAATGTTCTGGGAGGATGCCATTACAATATTAACTTGTCTACCTATTAATTTATTTGCACATGGATTCAAACACATCTTTTAAAAATGTAGGCATTGTCTAGTTTTAGGTTAATGCAATCCTGCTCTGTACTTGGATATTATTCCTTCTCAGTGTTCAAAAACTTTCAGTTCTCCCTAAGATTTAGGTTTCTACAATTTAAAAAATGGTAGTTATGTCTCAAATCATATAAGGTAGTCCAAATTGCAAATCTTACAGACCCATACAAGTTTGAGAAACTCTTTGAAAGTAGAGTGGAAATGATTTCAATTCTGAGAAGAGATTTGTTTTCATTCATTCTTGCATAGTTATACTGATTATGGTAGCTATAACTATAATATCAGTGTCACTAGGGTATCTGTTAATGTAAATTGATAAACTAATTTGTGAAACAAAATCACCCTAAAGATCTTAGTTGTTGGACTAGAGTATTTTAGAAGACTTAGAGTAATATGTAGTCTCTTGATTTTCCATGGGCCTAAGTCACTTTCCAAGGGAAGCACAGCAGGCATAATGGAAGCTTGGTGCAGGTAGTTTCACATAGCGGACATTTTTCTAGCTGCTCCCTTGTGATCTTTGGAACACTAAAAGCTACCTCATTGCACAGAACAGCATCTCCCAACATGGATTTCTTAATGTATTAGCGTTAGACGAGGCTGGGAGGAAGGCAAGCTCTCTGATATAATAAATCTGGAAAACATTCATAGTGAAACAAAAGTAAATAGGTTTCAGGATTTCTCAGAACCTAGAATATGAAGCTAATGTACAATTTGAAACTCCCAGAGGAGAATATATTATATAGACTATCTTCAAATTTTCTTCAATGAAACGTGTCTGAGAGATTACATGTCGAATCTTTCCCCTCTTATTCACTGCCAATCTGCTCAAGCCAAATTTCTTCATGAAAACCATTTCCAGGTCCCTCAATTAGACTTCATCACTACCCCATTACTACACTGTAGGGTTTTCAGACTCTTTATTTCTATTTTATAACCTCTCCGTTTGTTGGGTGGCACCTGGAGAAAATGGGCCATTCACTATTCACCTGTTTTGTACAACTCCTTTGCCTAGAGCTTGTAGGAACTCAATAAATGTTTATGAAAGTCTGATCCCATCTATCTTGAATGTGTGTTATTTATTTCAAGGATTCTACTGGGAAGTGAACTATGCTTCTTTACCCATTTGAGAATGAGTGGATTAGACTTTTATATTTAAATTCATCTTTAGGCTTAATTTAACACTGTTTTTGATAGCAGGGAGAGTAAATCACCATAATCCAAACATACACCTAAAAGAATCTCAAACTAAATAAGATTCATGCAAGGTCATTTTTTATTAAGCTTTATATGCAGATTACACCTATGTATTTTATTTGACAAGCTGACATAACATTCTAGAAAACACAAAAAAGGACTTCATACCTACCAGGAACAGAGCAACTTACTCTGCAGTTAGCATGTATATTAAGTACTTCAGGGAGTCATTAGGGGAAAGAGGCTACACGACTACTGCTTGTCTTCTGTAAAATGATTATTCTGGACCAGTAGCTACAAAGAAAACTACATGACTACCACAGAGTCAGAGATCTTACATCCAAGTCCATCCTTTTTATTTAGGATAGGACTTGGGAGTCACATAACAAAAATCAAGTTATTCCTTCAGAATAAGCTACATGTCAAGCTTTCTATGTGCAGTATTAATACTAAGGTGATTAGCTTATGTTTAAAAAAAATCAAAAAAAGAACATTTTTCTATTTAGACCCCACATAGTAGTGATTATAGGAGATGCTTAGTCGTTGAAAAGTGTTCTGTCCATTCTGGTGTATCTTTACGAATTCTTCTGAGAGATCTTCATGGTGACTGTCTTGACTTCTGTGTATTCATGGAGACCGTATTCTCCCCTAGAGAGAGGGGGGGAAAAATATTTGTAAATGCCATTGAGCATAGCAGCATAAATGTACGATAGTCACTGATGTGGTACAAGTCACTCTTGCTTATCTCATAAGGAAATGTGGAAACTATTTCTGTGCAGAGAACATTTCATGTAATAGCTAGTTTGCAAAAATTCCCTTGTAGAGAAAATTTCTTAAAAATGACTTCCATTTTTGAAAACATAAAAAATGACACAAAATGTCTTTCATTCTAAACAATTAGGCACTTTCAGTTGATATGCATAGAAATTATCCACTTTTGACATTTTTTTCTTTTACTTAACTATTAAAGCTTTAACTGCTCAAAAGATAATTCAATACTATAAGATTTTTCTCATTTCTAGTTTGGTTTCAAATAAATTATATATATATATATATATGAGATATATATATATATATGAAAGGAGAAATAGCCATAGTCACTCCAGTGTACCCAGTAAAGCTATGTATTTACTAGGTGCAGTTGGCACAGCAGTAGTGAGGGGTAGAAAATGCTTATATTTCCATCTGCATTCTAAGGTTCTGATCTTAGGCAGATGTAGTTTCAACAATATCTTTTGATTCATGGCAAAACAAAAACCTGATCTTCATTGTTGGAATTTTCTTTCCTTTTTGATTTTTTGTATGTTTTCTTTTTAAGGAGGAAAGCTGTTAGAGATTGGCCTACATTCAGGCCTTTGAGCTTTTTGCAGATGCTGGTTTTCCTCTTGGTACAACCTCCTCTGTCCTCCCCACATGCTATGTTGCTCCTAAGTCCATTCCAAATGACCAGCAATGAATACTAGTTGATCTGTTTGTACCCTGTTTTTTTGTTATCAGTTCTCTATCTCCCACCAGTTTAGGAAACTATGATTTACCCTTTTTTGAATAGAACTAGAAGGATTGGCTCAGTTATTCTCTGTATGGTTTTGATGAGATTAAATTGCATATATATTAAACTATTCTTAAAGCCATTACACCTATGCACATGTAGCTTACAGAGGAATAAGATCTTGATCCTTTCCTAAGCCTCCCTCTTGTGATCTAGACAGGTATGCAGAAGACATCTTTTGCTCTTGAAAACCTAATCCCCTTATACTGATTATTTTCTTGGGCAATTAAGCTTTTAAAAATACCTTCTAAAAGCTTCAATGAGCATGTTCTTCAAAGTAATTAAAGGGTTTAGACTCAGCTGTCTGAAACCCATTAAAAGATAGTATTTTAATAAGCATTTTATCTCACAGAGGTAGATAAATTAACCCATGATTTTCACCAATAGACCTTTCACTGTATTTTGGGTTACAAGGGAAGTTGGAACTCTCAGGAATAATGAGTGTGATTATTTTCAAACTCTGTTAGAAACAGGTCAGTTTTCTTAGGAATACATATATTATATCTATGATGGAACATAAAAACATTTGCTTACATTTCTCTTTATCTTAAGTGTATAAGCTGCCAGTTCTATGCTTTGAAAATCTTCAATATACAAACCACCAAGTCCTTATTCAAATGCTATTTTCAATTCAATAGGTGTGAGTTAGGTCTGAGACTCCATTTCTAATAACTTCCACATTGACGCTCATGCATTTCATCCATGGTCCATACCTTAGGGGAAACGGTTCTACTAATAAGATATGTCCATTTTTTCTTTTATGCCCAGAAATGAGCTTTACACTAATTAAGCAGGCCAGAGGAAATGTGTGCTGAACTGAATTGGCAAATATAACCAAGAAAAAAAAATGTTCATTTGAGTTCTTGCTATAAGTCCATTAATACCATTTCCTCTCTCCCCTTTTTTGAAAGGAACAGGAAAAAAAGAAATACCTTTGTGATTTACTAAGAGCCAATTAAATTTGAAATGTCCTAGTAACCTAGTCTCAAGTGGTCTATGCTAACCTATGTGAAAATGAGTGTGATTTCACAAAGAGGGATTTCTGCCATTAACCTATTCCAGTGCCAACACTGGAGCAGAGATTTAAAAACCAAGGGCACTGTGTTACTATCTAACACATGGGGGTGTACATATCACTATTTTGGGCTCTTTGAGGACTTTGTTCCTGACTGATTGATTTTGCCTTTCTACTTTGGAGGAAAAACTATAATTTAACCCTTTAGAGTCATTTGAGGCTTTAGATTCACTGATTCTTTTGAAACATCTTGTTGTGAATGACTTGTTTATTAAGTTTACCAAGTTTTTTTTAGATAGACTTTAACTGTAGCATTCTCAGATGGATTTTTGAAGTGAAAAAAATAATAGCATAACTTTCTTCTTTGTATTTTAAAGAAGGAAATTATCTAGACCCACATTATAGACTTTAAGGAAATTATGGGTGATTTTTTTATTCTTATTTTCAGTCCTTCTATTTAATTTCCTTATGCTTTAGCTTTAAAGTTTGACCAAACTGTATTCAACAAAGTTGACATGTTTTGTCTACTTTAGTTACTTCATTCCTTTTGGTTGTTTTGTCAACATTCCCAGGGTAATGTGTTAGATCGCTGGGCCAGCAGTGAACTGTCCTTCAGAGTAATCTAACTTTGTAATAATAGCTTTGTATACAAAGTAGTTAGTTCTGCCAAGAAATTCTCTAATAGTGGACATTATAAGGAGAGGAAACCAGGGAAGAAAAAACAAAACAAAACATATTTATGGCTTTTTATTACTCCACTAATAAGATCCAGCTGATTTCCTCAGATTCAGGACTCCTTAATCTAGATCAAATTTATCTTTGTAATAATCTTCCTCACCCCCATAAATCCATACCAACCACCCACGCTCACTAGCCCCTCAGCATCCCCAATGCCCATTCCGTTCAGGAATATGCTTTTCTCTACTTAACTGATGTCCTACACAAGCTTCATGCCCTAGATGAAGTCCTGTCTTTACTGTGAGGTCCTTTACTCTATCAATATCATTAAATTTTTGGCCACTAAATTCTCACTGGGGTTATAACCACAGAATCTTAAGCATGGGAAGGATCTCAAAGATGTACTTCCTTCTCCCACTCCTATTTTTATCCACAATCCCTCACTTTTTTTTTAACAGATGAAAATAGTGAAAATTAGAAATATAGTATTAAATATTAAACTCTCTTGGTATTCAGATTTTCTTTCCCTTGATACCCTTTCCTCTGGACTTTCAACTACTTTCCTGACTTCCTGAGGCATGAACTCCCACTTTATTAATAGTCTAGAATTACTGTTCAAACTGTGTGTAGGTATTTTGCACTGTTTTTTACATCTTCTTTCTGCCACTGCAGTTATTTGAAGAATGGAACATAGTGTTATGTCTCTGGGACTCATAGAACCTTATAAATAACAGCAAGTACATAATGAATGCGTATTAAGAAAGTGCATCCATCATTTTAACTTTTCTCCATTCTCTACCTCTCCAACGATGTTTGCTTCAATGCAATTTTGCTGATCAATTAAGATAAATAACAAAGTTGATGTCTATTTAATGCACTCATGACCTTTAGATATTAGATTCATTTTACCTGATATTAACAAAATGAGAAGCTTTTTCTATGTTTGATTCCATATAGTTTGTATGTGATGTATGTCTTTTTTCTTTTCTTTTTTATTGATTTTATTTTTTTAAATACACGACAGCAATGGAATGCATTACAATTCTTATTACACATATAGAGCACAATTTTCGTATCTCTGTATATAAAGTATGTTTACACCAATTTATGCCTTTATATGTATGTTTTTCCTGAATGGATTTTTATTTATTAGTAAATGTAAACAATTTTAGGAAATAAAATGGTTTAAACCACTAAATTAACCAAATATAGTGTAACTATTTTCTACATATACATATATATCTGCATATTTTAAAAGTCTATATATCTTGGTTTCCAAAGCAATGGAGGGCTCATAAACGCATTTATGTATAAAAATTCTCAGTCTAGTCACAACTATAAAGCATGTTTTCAATAGTCAAATTTCCCTCTGGGTTTATATTTTAGTACCCAAAATAACTCATTCAGTTAATTTAAAAATTTAGAGTCTGCATCAATAATATTTCAACAAATGAGAATCTTTCATTTCAACACTAAATTTTTTGGGGGATAACTAACCTAATTTATTTATCTAAGAGGTATTTTTAAATAACTACAGTTTTCTTCTATTTATATGCTTCCTAAAATCACCAATTTAGATTTCCTATCTTCTTTTTGAGAATGTTTCCCAAATGGATTACATTCAGACATACATCTAGCCATTCTACAAGTAGGCAACAATGCAATCACTGGTGTAAAGTGCTTAATATGGTCTCTTATGAATATTAGGGGTTTAATAAATTATATTTCCCTTCTGCTGTTGCCTTTATAAACTCATGAAGTACATTCAACATTTAAAAAGCTATTTGGTGGTATGGATCTCAAAGAGAGATTAGCGGCAGGTTTTATTTAAGGTGGTGAACATGAATTAGTTCCCTGGAGTGATAACCATCTAGATCAATATTTATCTCAATAGAAACTTATTCTTACAGTTCTCGTCCATTTCCAGACATCTTGAATCCCCCAAAGGGGCACTGAGCAGATACCACACTGTAGCAATTTACCCTGAAGGAAAAAAAAAAGTACATTATAGATAATGCTTAACCTATGAAATAACTCCTAAGCTGGGAATTTAGGAAATTAAAAGAACTGCATTTATTTTAATTTAATACACTCATTGAGTTTTTTTAAAAAACAACAGTATAAATTAGAATCCAGAAAGTATATGGATATATACACTACTTAGAAACAAATAGAAAGGTGCAACTATGTATATATGAATAGTCATTTGGGTAGTATATCATGTCCCTAAGAAGTGGTAGTTTGAAGTATAAAATAGAATGGCCAATATGCTCTAGAAGGAAAGGATACAGCTTACTAGAGGCTGAGATTTGTTATATGCATGTTCTTTACTGCTTATACTCAATGAGCTTTGTGATTTTTTTTGAGTTTTATGTACTCTTCAGACTAGAATCAACGTTCTTTCGTGATTGCAATGTGTATCACAATACTTCATTTTTTCATCATTTGGTTCAATAAATTACTTAAACAAAGGCCTTGTTAGGAAGTGGATTTAATTATAGATTTGTTTATCAGATTTCACAAAGTGTTTAAAGATGCTTATATGAAGCAACATAATTACTAAAAAAAAGTGAGTAGAATTAAAGAAAAAATTACAATAGAAGATGGAGTGGGTTGGGGACAATTAGAATGCAATTTTGTAGGCTATGAACAATGCTTAGCTTTGAATTTCCTAGAAGCTAAAGTTAACAGCAAAATCTAATTACTTATATGATTCTCATTACACAAAAATAAAAAAATTAAAGAATACAATTTTTCAAATTAGTTTTTATATTTTCCCTTACTTTCATGTTATTATAAAAGGTAGTCAAAAAGATGAGAAGACCTCCAAATAAATATATTGTACTTAGAAAAGTTTGATTATTACTTTGATTTTGAAATAATATTCAGGTGTTTTCTTAGTTAAAAACTTGATATCCCCATTCCTAGAGTTCTAAATTCTCATTGTGCCACAGAGATATTCTGTTTCCCTTATCAGGATAGTTTCTTAAATAAGTTTACAGTTTTAAAAAGAATCTTGTTTTTGCTTAGTTTAATTGTCATTTAAATTGGAAAATCAAATCCTTACTTTGAAATTAAGTATAAAATCCCAGCAACTCTGGATTCAACGATTGTCTGAGAAACACCAAGCAGCTATTAGGTCTGAGACAATGCCAGAACATTATTATGCTCTGGGATATAAAGCAATAATAATAAGATCTACTCTGTTTTAATATGTATGGAAATTCCTAATGGGATTCCCAAGCTATTCAGTGGAATGATATGATAACAAGTTTCTCCATCATATATTCAAGTAACATTCTGTTAATTCAAAATTTAAAAATTCTCAAACTTATCTCTGTTAAAATGTGCAGAAAAAAATTTTCTCTTTTGATTCTACACTGAAAATGAAAGTATTTAATATGCATTAATAGAAAACTGAGGGATATTTACTTAGAGAAAACTATGATTTGAAATGCCTCCCTATTCATGTGTCTTCTTACTTATAAAGTAGAGATGATACTATTTAATTAGGTCATTTCTAGGCCTATGTAAGATGATGCATAGACTGTGTTTGTAAGAATATTTAATATACAGTAAGTTTTTAGGAAACGGAAATAATGTACATATATACAATAGTAATACTGACATTTATTAGCCCTTTTATCATAGAAATATTTTATGTTTATCACTAGCCATTCAGATTGACAAGGTGCTTGATCTATCTCTTTTCAGAGTTTCTGAAAGAAAACCACCCATTATAAAAACAAAATAAAACAAACAAATTTAAAAAAAAAAACAGGCTTTTGAGCTGTGATTCTTAGTGCTAGTTGAACATTAGCATTATATGGGAGTTTTAAAAAACGACTTTTCTAGCAGACAACACAATTTGAAATGAAATGTTCAAGTTAACCTGTTGAAGTGGCTAATATTGGAAAGGCATATATAACTTCAGTCTGACTTACCACACGGTCCCTGCCTGTAGAGCGGAGGAGACAGTTATGGCTTTATTAAGATCTTTGGTAAAGATTCCTGCTGATAAGCCATAGAGAGTATTGTTTGCTCTCTTGATCACATCATCTAAAGATTTAAACTTCATGATTTGTTGCACAGGTCCAAATATCTATAACACAAGAAATTAATAAAATAAATAAAGATAATATATTAAAACTAAAAAAATTAAAAAGATATTGCAGATTTCTCCCTCTACAGATTATCCTAAATTGGATAAGATTTTGTTTCTCATCTCAGACCTACATTTTGGTACCAGGAATTGAAAACCATGGGCACTTAACCACTGGCCAACATCCCCAGCCAGCCCTTTTTTGTATTTTATTTAGAGACAAGTTCTCACTGAGTTGCTGGGGGTGACTTTGAACTCATCATACTCCTGCCTCAGCCTCCCAAGCAGCTGGGATAACAGATGTGAGCCATTGCACCCTGCTTTTAGACCTACATGTAAGAATCAAAATTGAGATCTGTAGAAGTGAAAGGTAAAAAAAGTGATGACCATTTTTAATTCTCTTTGGAACACCATAGGCACACATAAATAAAGCAGTGTTAATTTTCTAGATGTTGAAGTTAAGCTCCCAATTACTTAAAGTTATGCATCAAAACATTAATTTCAGATTTCTTTGAATATATTTTAAATTCTTTCCCTAGCTTTCTTCATCTTCTGAATTACTGCATATAACAGCCCAAGAAAGCAATGCTTGCTCTATTGGATAAATACATAGGTAATGTTTCATAACAATATTAATGTTTTATATATTAGTGTGTCAGTGACTAAAATATCGTTTATTCTGTATTTGGATCTTTTTAAAATTAGTCAAGATAGGTAAAACAACAAGGGATTTTATTCATTTTCTTTTCTTATGTTGCTTAAATATGCCAAACAGAATTCATTATTGCAAGTCTGAAGTACCCTATACTAACAAAGTATGAGTTCACTGGCAATTGATAAAATCACAGGACAGGAAACAACAATCACAATTTTGCTTATTCAAGTCTAGACCTCTCTTGCTAGACTGTTATTAGCACAGGCCATGCTCAATTCATTCTGGCTCTCAGCTCTAGGGAGGAGAAAATAGCTGGATTTTCTCTGAAAAATTAAGCTTACAATAAAAGAGAGGCTCCTCTGAGTATTATAACATTTTTCTGGGAAATGTGAACGAAGGTGGGCAAAAATCAGAAATGTCAAATGATTTTCTGGTATCCACCATTGATTTAAGTAGTATAAGGGGTATGGACTACCATTCAGTAGAGGCTGAGGGCAAAGCCTAAGGTTGTGAATTGAATCATGATGTTGTAATCTAGGAACTAGATAGATGTAGAACAGCTACTATAATAAACACACTCATATTTTACAAAATTTGAATTGAATATAGTACGTAGTTTCAGGTTTCCACTTTGAAGGAGCCAAATAACTATTCTATCACATACATTATAGAAACACAACAAATACCTCATTGAAGATATTTCCACAGTCCTTTCTATTTGGTATTAATTGACATAAACAAGAACAATTCTTGTAGTGAGATAAAAACTTATTAATAAATGCAATAATTACAATTCAGTTGAGGAATGAAGTGATATAGAGAAACTAAGTAGGTTTGATTATCTATGTTTGCTTTTATTTTCGTTTTTCTTATTTATTTCCTCTGTTTGCAAATATGATTTTGTCCATTTCTCCTTGACTTAATAAAATTTGGGATGGAGGGGCAATTTAAAGAGAATAACCTTCTCAGATTATCCATCACATCATGGACATAAAGTACAAACTGACAGGATGAAAGGGTTATAATTGAGGACCTTTGAGTTGTCAGTGTCTTCTTATTGTAGGGTATTACATGACACTTTTGTCATCCAAAGTCAGTTCATCTTCTCTGAATTTAATAGAGACCCTCATTGTCTACGAGGTAGGTTATTTACCTTCCTAAATAAAAATTAGTACTTCTTAGTAATACATTGCCTTCTTAGATTACATTTTTCTTAATTTTGTACTCACCAAATATTTTAACTATAATATGTAACATATTATGCCATATAATTTTACCTATTATTATATATTAAATATATAATAAGCATATATTATGTGTAAATATAAGTATTTACTCCCTATATCTCCTCAGTCTTCATGTACTCTTTTTTGGGGGGTGAGGGTGCTGCTGAGGATTGAATTCAGGGCCTCATACGTGCTAGGCAAGTGCTTTACCACTGAACCATATCCCCAGCCCCTTTCATGTATTCTTGGCCCCAGATTTTTCAGGCGTTATGATTCTTAATTTTGTGTTGTATGGTTAAATATTTAACGAGTGTATTATATTATACCCAATTAGTATATTTGTATGTATATGTATATACACACACAAAATTGGGAAATCTGACCACTAATAAACACAGGGCCAAGAGCACACAGAGGAGGGGGAGGAACGTGGAGATGAATGTAGAAAAAGACCATAGGGCAAATATGGCATCACTAGGTAGGGCTGAAGCACTTTTTGTTTCATGATAGAAACACTGAAGATCTGCTCTCAGCAATTTTCATGTATACAATATGTTGTTATTGATGGGAGTCAACACATTGTCCAATGGTTCTGTTGATATTATTCCTTCTGTATGACTGAGATTGTGTGTCCTTTGACCAGCATTTCCCCAATCCTCTTCTCCACTTCGTGTCCCCAAAGTCTCTGGTAACCACCATTTCACTCCCTGCTTCTGAGTTGGACTTTTTAAAATTCTACATAGAATTGGGATCTTTCAGGATTTGTCTTTCTGTGCCTGGCATATTTGACTCAACAGAATGTTCTCAAGTTTATTCACACTATCATGCAAAACCTGTGACTGGAAGCACCTAATGATTGTTACGATCCTGGTCTGTTTGGCTGCAAGTTCTTCACAGGCTCAGTGGACTCCTTACTGTTTTTATTCTTGATCACAAGTAACTTCAACCTTTATCAACAGCAGAAACAAAGAGTAACATTTACTGAGAAAGATGTTCAAAGAGCTGGGAAATTTAAAGGCACAGATAGTAGACACACCTGCAGACAAAGCGAGGCAATAAAGGGAACAGAACAGAGTGAAACCATTTACCTCCTCTTTGGCGATGCGCATCTCATCTGTAACATTAGAGAAAACTGTGGGCTGGACAAAGTAGCCTTTATTCCCCCAGGGGCCTCCTCCACATTCCAGTTTGGCTCCTTCTTTCTTCCCACTCTCAATGAGGTCAAGTATTTTATCATACTGTTCCTTGTCAATCTATTTGTAAAATATCACATGAAAAGAAAAAAAAATCAGCAACTTATATAAGTTATGGGCCTGTGGATGAGGGCTTCAGTGAGCTAGTCTATTTCTATTAAATCTGATATTGAATTTTGAAAGCTGTCATAGGTTTAGATTCATTCTCTGGGCACATTTACTTCTCATGAAATTTTAGGAAGGAAACCTTGAAGATACCTATGTTTAGAATCTACAGTTGTGTAAAGAAGAAAAAAAGAAAGTGTATTGGCACAGCAAATACATCTGACCCTTTCACACAACTGTCATTCTTAAAGAAAAGTTTGTTAATGATATAACACATTTACCTGGAAATTGTAGTCCTAACTGAAATAAAAGGAGTGAAACAAGAAAAAGAAAGCTGTGATTCTGGCTTAATTAGACTGGGCATTTGGGAAGCAGATGCCTTTGAACTTTGAGAAGACTCCTATATTTCTGTGGGGACTTCCCCATCCTGGACCATCCCCTCTGGCCTAGTCCATGACCTTGGATATCACACTCAGACCATAGGTTGGGCATCCTCCCCAGGTCAGTGGGTTTGATTTCAGTTTCTGGCCAGTCCCAATTTTCATCTTTATATTTTATTAAATGAGCCACATCTAAATATATGAAAAGTGTTACAGAAGTGAAATTTTTTGAATAAGATATTTATAGGGGAAAAGGAGTTAGAAGTTCTGGTTATGAACACCATGTCATTGTGGATTAAAGGAAAACCAGGAGATCCAGGAGCTAAGCAGGGGGGTTGAGGGCTTTTTGTTAGTTTAACTTACTTGTCCCTTCTCTATACTTAAAAAGTGTTATTCTTTATCTTCTTTGACTCTGCAAATATTTCCCACCACCCAAGACCAAGAAAAAGCTTCCAAGAAGTCATTTCTAACTGTATGGGATTCAGCACTCCTATCTAAGTAGATTAAATGCCATCTTCAATCAGAAACTAGTTTTACAAAATTTGGCTCAATATTCGGTGCAGTGTTCCTGCAGGCTCTCCACTGAACAGTATTCAATCATGTATCCCACAAAGAAAATCTCTTCATTCTCATCAGATCAAAGAAATTGTAGAGATATTTATGTTACTGTATACTAGTTAATACAACTAAATTAAGGGGAGTGTTAGATATTTTTTTCTAGTTAAGATATTCTAGTGTCTCAGTAAAGACTCAGTAAAGACTCAAGGATCTATGTGCCTCCATGCAAAAGCTCCTCTGGCCTATTTCAATTTATTAATTGGACTATGACCTCAAAATCATAATTTTCAGTTTTTATTCACAGTATGCTTCCCAAGTCATAATGTTTCCCACTCTGGTCACTGTGACCAGAGTGGTTCCCAGGTGACTGTCTAATACATGCATATGCACTGCAGAAAGATATTGAAAGGATTTATTTGTTGGGAAACATGTGATCTCTTACTTCTAAAAAATACAGGACTGTATATTGCAGTGCCTTGCCATTGCAATGTGTTTCTAGAGCCAGCAGCTCTGGCATCACTTGGAAGCAACCTGCACTTCCCAAGCCCCTCTCTAGATCTACTGAATCCTTGGGTGATTCAGAGGCACAAGAAAGACTGAGAAACACCATGCCAGAGCCTGGGACTTGTGATAGAAAATTTCAGCTATACTTTGAAACACATCCAGTTTGGTCTAGCTAATTTTGATTCACCATAAATACAAACCTTCTTCAGAAGGTTTTGGATTCATCAATCATGAACTTGGCTTTCTTTGTGAATCTTAGGCACTGTTCAGTAATGCTTGCATGTAAAGGAATTCTTTGCTATGAAATGAGTCATTGGCCATGGGTTAGTCTATAGCATTATTGTGATGGTCTTAAAGTATATATTTTAGTGACTTTGAAAGTTCAAACTCTTTGATTCTTTAGGCTTGGTAGGTTGAAGAAGAAGAAGGTAAATTGAAAAAAGACACATTCCTCAAAGTATTTGGAAACTAGACCAACAAGATCAATGAAAGTAGATGTCTAAAAAATTGATCTTTACAATTATTGCCAGGTATAAATACAGGCATGTGATTTTCATTTACTTAACAGCTATCTTAGAACACATAGTGAACCAAGCACTCAGATGGAGACATTCTATAGATTATCTCATTTCACTGCAAAATGATCCTTCAAGATTAATTTACTAACCCCATCTTAAAAACGAGGAAATAGAGTCTAAGGGAGGTTAGATGTAAAATTCAGTGTATCATTTAAAGCCCTATGTCTCCATACCATGATAAGATGCTACTCTGCTGTTTTTAATACATTTTATATGGATAGCATCATTTTTTTCCAAATGAAAACACTTATTTCCAAATTTTCAAGGAAATATACATTTTGTTCTATGAACCAAATAGGAAAACCACTTTTATAAAGAAACAATATACACACGTGAACACACATACATAAAACAAATATAAATAATATATACTATGTTGTAATTGCTTCAACATTCAGATACTTTAAGTTCTTAATCTTCAAAATAAGAAAGGAACCAAACTTCTTTTAGAAACTATTTTCCCTAAATAAATACTTTTGTTGCTTATATTCTCTATAACAATTTTATTGAGGCATTTAATGAAGAAGATTATATAACTACATTTTTAAAGCCTCAGTTCATTCAAGCACCTGGGATGAGGATCTAGGATAAAGCTTAATGAACACATGGCTTTTTTCTGTATACTCTTTCTTATAATAACAGATAACAAATTTTTAGAGTAGAGAATCCCTGAGGACTTTTCAGTGTTTTGTTTCTCAAAGTTCCAACACACCTACTTATCCTACTTACTTAGCACAACCTGTGATAAAAATCTATTTATTTATAGAGATTAAAGTCATATTAATCAGTTAGATTATCGTATTACTTCCTCTAGGATCCTATGAACAAGAATTTTTCAAACCCTGTTTTAACTTCTTCCTCTTAGAAATAATGAGATATTTTAGCTCAGTGTTTTAGACTATTGTTGAATTAAACAGATTTTCCTCCCTAGTTGTATTACCCAACCAATATTCTATATTAAATATCTTAGATAGTCCACTCATCTCTCTTTTTTCTGTGTCTCCTTCTCTAATTGGAAAAGTGCTTTATGTTTATAAAGATAGGCAGACATAAATAATCACAAAGGAAAATTAAGAACCCTATTCATTTTTGAAATAGAAGACTAATTTAGATTAGAATTGATCATATTTCTTGGAATATTTGATATGGATATTTGAGAAGTTACCAAATATGATAAAAATTGTCAACTCTATGATAAAACTGTCAACTCCTTCTATGTAGTCATTAAACTCAAAGACAAATGCAAACTACAATGAGATTAAGATAAAAACAAATTACTACTTTATTTGCCAGTTATTTTAAGGCTTTTAGATTTCAGTATTTGGCATTGCTGAAGTCCTAGGATTTTCCTACCTAAATACTTGGAATGAAAATCTAAGACAGTCTTCTAAATTACCCAGTTTATAAACTCCACAAGGTCAGGGAGCATGCTGTTCTTGTTCCTCCTGGCATTGCCAGATGACAAACTCAGGGTTTTACTGATAGCAGTGTTCACTAAATTTTGGTTAATTGAATTTATATTTGGCTTAGTGAGCAAGTCAAGAATAGAATTTGGTTTCAGATCTACAGGATGAAACAGCATATAATGCTTAGTGTGGGCAATAAGGCCTGCAAGCTTAAGGTCTAGTCTCTAGAGCATAATCTCTTAGCACTGGCCCTGTGGACATTTTGGGCTAGCTGATTTCTGTTGTGGGACTGTCTTGCACATCAAAAGGTGTTTAGCAGCCTGCCTTGCCTGTACTCATTCGATGCAAGTAGAACTACATCCTTCCACCAAGTTGTGACAATTTACAATGTCACCATACATGGGCAACTATCCCCTGGGGGAGGGAAGCAAAGTTCCCCCTAGTTGAGAATGATTCCTCTACACCAGGTCCCCAAGGGATGGGGAAAAAAAACCAAAACTGAAGGTCCAGGAGTCTGAATAACAAACTATGACAAAGAACTGTGCAAGGAAGAGGGAAAGGTGACCTCTAATGAAAGACAGAAGCACTCTTATTGATAATGATTAGGAGTAAATGAAAAACACTGGGAGCCTGGGGGATTGTTTGGGCTTTAACAACTGAGTTGAAAAATTTGTTAGAAACCAGCAGTCTAGGACCTTTGAGGATGTGTGAACAATCTTTAGAGAACACACATCAGGTCAGAGTAACTGAGGACTTTGCAGAGGATTTAGGGGTGTGCTAGATGTCTGAATCTGTGGAATGGCAGCTGTGATGAAGGATTGATTGTGTTTGAGAGAGAAAAATGTATATGAACTTCCAAATGGACAAAGGACTGTAAAAGGAATCAAAAGATGTGCAGGTTGAGGAAAGCAAGAAATTGATAGTGTTTGTTAATTTTCCTTTCATCTTTAGTTCCCAGGATGCCTCCTAAAGTGTTTTCAGGTATGAAAAATCAGCAACACAAAGAATAATTTCTGAACCTTTGAGAATTAGATTTTTTTGAAACCACAGGACTGGTACAATCTTATTACCTAAGATGATGCACAAATGAGAAGTAATTATTCAAAATTGGGTCAAGAAGGACACTTTATTCTTGTCCCTTAAAATTCTATTCTTTATATTTTATGCTCACCTGAGGGCCTTGATTTACTCCTGGGGTCAGAGGATTTCCAAGTACATATTTCTTAGCCCGCTCAACACTTCTTTTAACAAACTCATCATAAATTGATTCTTCCACAAAAAGCCGGGATGCAGCTACACAGCACTGGCCCTGATGGTAGAATAAGCCTTGATGTGCAAATTCAACAGCACTGGCCACTGCAAAGAGAGCATTCACGTTAAAGAAGAAATATTTTCTAAAGATTACATATATTTATGCAGATTTTTCTGTTTATGTACATTTATGTATCTCAGTGTGGTGATACAGAAAAAATTATAAGTTGTATGGTCAGGCATGGGTTCAAGATATTTCACCTCTTAAAAGCTAGGTGAAAATTAATTTTTGTGATTCTTTATTTACTATGAAAACAATAGAAAAAATTAGTAGCACCAAAAAAAAAATGATTGTTATTAAGACAACTTTCATATGGACATTACCAAGAGTGTGAATTTGATTGCAAGGTCAAATATCATTATACTGAGATAATTGTGAAGTTTTTTTAGGAATCAGGTTTTAACTAAATAACAAAGAAAATATGAAATGCCAATTACCTTAAATAACTTCAAAACAATCTTATACACTGTGATTAGTAGAACGAATAATTTTTTCTGCAAAAACAACTATAACTATAACCAAAGCAACCAAAAAACAGTAACAAAACCCACTAATATTTATAATTATTCACCTCATGGTATTATTTCTAAGAAAGACATTTTCAAAATCTGTCTAAAATATATCATTCATATATGTCTGAAAATATATATTTTGTTTAGATGGTAGAATATGCTTAGGTTCCTTCATTTGTAGATCCTAAATCACAAGAATAAATTCTTCTTTTCATTTTATTTTTCTAAAGGCCAAAGATTCAATTCAACATTAAAGCAATTAGGTATGAATTTGTGAGCTAATCATACCTGCTTAAGTTGTAGTGAAAATAGCTTGCAGTCTTGGCAAATTAGTAATCATGTCATGGTTGTAGAATGTTTAATAAGGCAGTGTGTTCTAAAAAACTTTGATTAAGATCACAAGAGTAACAAAGGCCAATTCCATGAACCATTAGTTTTTACAGCCTCATAACAATAATGCAACTGTTTAAGAAAGAGTTGAAGGAATGTTTGACCATCTCTTTCTGCTAATTACCACCTATTTAGAAAGTAATTTTGGGGATTCTATATGGTAATGTAATCAGAATGAACCTAGAATATTATATAGAGGGGTCATATAATAATTGTAGACTTGATACACATACAAAACTATCCTTGATAATCTGGAAAAAAAGAGAGAGCTATTTAAATTGGTTTAATTTTCTTCTTGCCATCTCATTTCATGATTATATGACCCAGAGTGAAGGGAGATGGTGAACTGTAATTGCTGTCTCCCCAGCTTCTCTTAAGTCCAAATAGCTGAGGAATTTCATTTTGCCGAAAACAGTAATTAAAGATACGGAATTATTAAAAAGAATACATCATGGCCTCTAAATGAAAAACATTTATGTTATCTAGGGTTCAGCTGAGGAAATAGCAATTTATTTCAGACCAGGAAGAAACTGTGTCTTTGTTTAACTTATCTATGTGTTCTAACTTCAGGACAATTTACAAGATTTTCAAGAGTAATTCTGGACTCTCATTAATTCCTTACACTTTGAAGCAAACCCAACTGTGAGATTCAAGTACACTGTACGGTGTTATCAGACACCAGAAAGGAGGAGAGTGAAGAGTGAACAATGAGCCTCCTACTCACAGTCGGCGTCGGCAAACACAATGCAAGGGCTCTTTCCCCCCAGCTCCAGGGTGACCCTCTTCAGATTGCTTTTCCCTGCAGCTTCTTTGATCATCTTGCCAACCTGAAATGGAGTGTTGCAAAGAGGAGGCTTAGTTTGCTCTCACAAAGATGGGAATATGTAATATTTAAAATTTGTATGATGTTTGGGCGATTGTTAAGTTTCATTAGGAAGAAACATCAAGTGGCATTTTTCAAGATTTGGCACCTTCAGATATAAAAGGCTTTCCCATCCAAACATACAGACATGAGATAAATCAGAAAAATGTTCATGGGTGAGAGAGCAAATATACAGAACATGAAGGCTGGATCTTGATGTGCATGACTAGTTAGTAGGTTATTTTTCCTCTATATCAGAGCATGTATTGATCACACATATCATGATCCAACTTAGCTAATGGACCTTTTATCCATCTACTGACAGTCACAGGAATCTGCAGACAAACTGTCATACTCTCTGTATTTTTTATCAAAAACTTCATGTTTACAAGGAGGCTGGCACAATAAATAAGTCCATGGATAAGAATCACCACAAACTTTTAATCTGTCTTTTCTCTCAATCAAGAATAATCTTTAATTCAGAAAGTGTAATGTTCATTGGCTCGAGACAATATGTTTTCCCTGTAAGAACTATAAATATCACTTTAATCTGGATAATTATATATACATTTTTGTACCTCTAAGGATATACCAAAATAATAAAACTAATTAAAATATGTGAATAACTAATAAAACTTTTATTTGTCACAAAATAAATTTAATAATAGTAGATTTTGTAATAAATATTTTTTATCATAAATTTAACTAATCATACAATACTGTCTCAGGGGCTATATTTCTCATAATAGGAGGTAATGAACACACTAAAAACAGTTTCTTCTACCTTCTGAATTTGTAATCGGTATTTCATTTCATCCAAACTGTATCTACTTATGTTGTATAAATACATTTGAAGGCCAGAATAAGGAACAAATCATTAAAAAATACTTTTTGTTTTAAGGAAGTGTCAGCTTAAAATAGTTACAATAAAACATGATTCCAATAGGTAGAGAGAGATGCCAGTCTCTTCACTGCAGGCCTGGGTAAATGGTATTACCTCTGTGGATCCTGTGAAGGCCACTTTGTCAATATCCATGTGAGAAGAGATGGCTGCCCCTGCTGTAGGCCCATAGCCAGGGACAATATTCACTACTCCAGGAGGAAACCCTGCCTGAAAGGCAAAAAGCAAAACAGTTAAAACACAACTCAGAATTTAATTCAAAAGAGAGGTGAGTACGGGATTGAGGCTGCTTCATTATGGTAATGTTCATCTTATGATTGCTCTCCCAAGAAAAATTCACCTAAGTGCCTTCATTCTTTATTCCTTATTATTATTATTATTATTTCATTTCTTAGCCCACATGAAAATAATCAGATGGGCTGCATTATCGAAAAATTCCTGGGATGAGCCCAGAGTTTATGGATCACTGCTCTCATGATGGCTCTCTCAAATTTCATAATAATAACTCAAAAAAGTAGTGTATAGAAGAGTGTTTGGTGAATTACTTACCCGGAAGGAAAGCAACATATTTTATAAACTCCATCAGTAAAAATAAGAAGCTAAAGAGATCTCATATTTCTAGTTTGTAGCTGTTGATTGCTCAGGGCATACCATCTGAGTTGCAAATCCCCACTGACATGATTTAGTAATATATTAAGAAAGCTAATCAGATCGCTTAGAATGGAACTTTACAGACCCATATCAATCCCAGCTGAAGAATTCAAGGAAGAAGAAGCAATGTGACCACTGAGTTGGGCACATTAAAATTTCATGTTATTTGTATCAAATTGCCTCATTTTAACATCTCTTTTGCTTATTATAAATTTTAAATAAAAAATATTTTAAAGATATTAATTTGGATTTTCTGAAATTTAAGTTTCTGGTAACTAACAGTTGTATAAGTTTGGGTAAGATAGGAAGGTCAAAGTGCAATGACTTGTTCTCAAGAAAAAAATATATTCATGCAATTCACATAGTTGATGAAAATAAGTTTGGTGTGTGCTTTGCCATTTCTGAAGAAGAAAGAAAATGTATAGGAAACTATAAAAGAAAAGTGAATATAAACATGGACATGTGTTTGAAAATAATGTGGCCCAATAACATAAACAATCATATTGGCACAGTGGCCTGCAACCACCATATAGATGAAAACTAAAAACTTGTTTAAGTTTAAATAAATTTGCAAGACTCATCAGGACATCAGTAGAAGTTGCAAACTAGTTTAATATTTCAACATGTGAAAGAATGCTCTATTAATTGTAACATGTATTTATGTCCGTTGATTTGGACAAAAGAAAGAAAAAAATCTAGTCATAAGATGACTGACTCCAAGACCTTGAGTCTGGCTTTCTGTCTGTGTTTGGGTTGACTCCAGGAATCTCAGCCAGCAGTCCTGCTAGATGTGCCCCAACCACTGACGAGAACCATTTGTAAGTCAGGCAGCTTATAGTAGCACCAAATGGGGCCTTCTTGTTATAAATTAGGATGGCTGAATTCTTGTGCATATTTTGATTTAGGAAACTTACCTCTTTTATCAAAGATGCCACATGAAGAGCAGTAAGGGGAGTTTGTTCTGCTGGTTTGACAATCACCGTGTTTCCACAGCTAAGGGCAGGCCCTATCTTCCAAATGAGCATGACCAATGGGAAATTCCACTAGAAAGCAATATTTAACAATAGAGTCTTTGTATTGCTCAAAGGCACATTTGCTAGTGTAACTTCTACATGATAAACTCCCATTCCCCACAGATGTTAACTAATAACTGTAGTAGTCTTATGTAATCATAGTGGATTCTATTGATATGAACAGCAACTAGTAAATAATAAAAAGCTCTAAATAAACCAGATAGGAGAAGGGACCAGGAGAGAGCCCCAAAATTTAATTGGGTGCTGTTATTTCAAATAGCAGGAACAAAGAAAAAAAAAACCTCATCACATGGTTTTGCATATAATTAAGCATATTGTGAGTTACTTTTGCTCAAAAAGTATGGTTATTCTCCTCTTTCCATAGGTCATTTGTTATATTCACTGAAAATTATTTGGTAGCATTTATTTCCAAGAGAAATAATTCTCTCTCTCTCTCTCTCTCTCTCTCTCTCTCTCTCTCTCTCTCTCTCTCT